CACAAAGCTCCTGTGAATGCTCTGAAATAAAAAAAAAGGTGAATAGTGTTAATAATTTTTGATTAGACTCGGTGGATTGACCCAAATACAATTTCATTTTAAGCTCTTGACATGTGCTAGGAATGTGCCACAATAAGGTCAATAAACAAGACTGAATATTAAATTTTTCCTCTCTTTTCACAGGACACCTCCTCTGCCCCTCCTGTTGTGGTGACCAGTGAATCAGGCATACCAGTGGACCGGAGCACTCAGACTTCCTCCTATGCTTCTCAAGGTCCCATGCACTTTCCTCCACAGGGTCTATCCCAAACACTAGGAACAGAGACCCAGACCCACCTCTTCAGTCACCTGCCCCTGCACTCCCAGCAGCCTTCTCGCTCCTCGTACAGCATGGTCCCAGTTGGGGGGATCCAGCTGGTGCCCGCTGGCTTGGCAGCTTACTCCACCTTTGTACCAATCCAGGCTGGCCCCGTCCAGCTCACCATCCCAGCAGTGAGTGTCATTCACAGAAACACAAGCCCATTACCAGCTCCCAACACCCCACCCCAACCAGAGGGCTTGCAAACCCAGCCACTTGTGGTCCAGGAACCAATCAGCAGTGTTGTGCCCTGCTTCCCCCTAGGGCAGGTCACTGGCCTGCAGGCTCAAACAATACAGCCAGTAGGTCTGGAGACACTGAACCTCATGGGGCTGACCAACACAGGCCTGGCATCCACCCAGCTGCTGAACCAGCAAGGGCTCACCCTCAATGCTACCCTTGGGCTGCAGGTTTTAGCTGCCAACCCCACCTCCCAAAGCAGCACCGGCCCCCAGACACATGTCCCAGGTCTGCAGATATTAAACATCGCCCTGCCTGCCATCATCCCTTCTCTCAGCCCTCTCTCCACCCTTAGTCCTCTCCCTGGGTCCTCAGAGAGGCAGGGCAGCCCTGAAGCTCCTGGAGCACAGCCATCTCAAAGTGAACATGGGCTCGGTTCTTTACGGAGCTGCACGTCAGCTTCACCGCCTGCCCCCTCGAAGGTCAGCAGCTCCCCGGATGTGACCTCAGGCAGCAGGTCTAGCCCGGGAGGTAGCAGCGGGGGAGATCTCACACAGACTGTTGAGAGGGAAGAAAGGGATAAATCCCCACAGCAGCATCGATCACCAGCTACTGAAAGCCGAGCAGACAGTGCTAAGGAGTCATCAGTTGAGGGAGCTAGTGATCCCACGCCTCCAAGACCGCTGCCAGTGACCAGCTGGCAGAAGGTAATTGATGACTATAATGAGGTATCCAGTGATGATGAAGACAGACTGGTCATTGCCACCTGAAACCCCCAAGTGGAAAGCTCTTCTTGTTCTCTTTTTGTAATTCTTGTCACTTTGTAAGACTGAAAACACTTTTCAGGGGTTTGTTTCTTTGCAAATCACCTTTCAAAGCACAGACGCTGACATTCATATTGTATGTGCAATCATATGATAATTATAATGACGACCAATCATTTTGTTTTTACTTTTTTGTCAGCTCCAGACAATTTCTTTTTTTGTACATGTTGTATAGACAATTGTGCCTTTATGGAGTTTCTTGTTTAGGAACCTGTACATAATTCCTTATAAATTGAGTAGTTGCTTGTGTTTATTTCAAAAAATAGAAGTAAAGAGAGGCCTAACAATGGACGATATCAGTTTTATTTTGGAGGATTTGTCATTCGTAAATTTATGGAATTATAAATGTTGTACTGGTATATGTACATTTCTATGGATTATGGGGCAATGTTTCTGTGTACAGATGTTGTGTTCAACTATTTATTATAATCCATCTAGTGCCCATTATGATTCATAAGTCCATAGGTATGTGCATTATGGTAGCTTTACATTGCTGTATCAATATTCTTAACTGTATCAGTAAAAATTTGTTTACAAATATTAAAGTGGTTTCACTGTATTTTGTCAGTTAAACACTAGAAACATATCATCACTACATATTTTAAAGGTGGACTGGACATTGATTTCAGATAAGTGTTCATACACACTCTTAGGTTGAATCATAGACGATCAGTTGGTCAATACACCTATTTAAGCTGTGTTGTTGTGGGTGTTATAAACGTGGGACTGTGGTGTGAAATCGATTTTGGTATGTCCCTGTGAAATGTATTCTTATTATCTACTTTGATTATACGTCAAATTTAATATTGTAGGAAACACAATTTCTATACCAAAACATAAGAGAATCGTTTCTATCTGCAACAATGAATCGACTGAAAGAAAATTAATTAGGAACAATTTTTATATCTGATCAGGCAAAGATTCACTGGTTTGTCTCTCAAATGTGAACATTTTCTGATTTTCTTTATCTTTTGAAACAGAATATAATTGATGCTAGCTGGACCAAACAATTAATGAATAATTAAGAAAATACTTGGTAAATTAATCAGTAACATATTCAAATAATTGTTAGTTGCAGCTCTAACTAGAGCTAAAAAATAAATACATACAAATTAATTTGGGTTTTCGCTCAATCAATGGCTAGTATTTCCAGGATCTTATAATTTGGGTAATATTTGTGTGCATCTTTTTAATAGATCGGTTACTTTCCAGCTAATCAGAGATATTTATAATCAATATTTGATCATCTACAGCAACTGCACAAGATCATTACTCCCTGGCAGAGCTGCAGAGCCCAAATAGAGCTTCTTTCATGATAGTGAATTATGTTTCTTAAAATAAATAGCCAGTTATGTGATCGTCTCAATTGGCTCAAGACTTTGGCTCCTTTACTCCCACTATGATTATATTAAATAGGTCTGCTTCAGCAGTGTTGTTCTGCTTTTTTTACAGAACAACAGAGGAAGAAACTGCAATAACACCATTTTTTTTAATGTTGGCAAAATAATATAGAAGAAATTCATGCAGTAAAACAACTCGACCTCCTTCAACGTCCCACTTACTGTACAACAAAGATCATTTAGATTCCTCAGGAAACAACCTCTTGATCTTCTCATCAGCACAATGACACCACTTCATTAAAACTGAGTGTTCCTTGTGTGATCAGTTATTATACTTGTTTTATTTCACACCCACTGTACAAGAAGAGTCATCCAAACATAGCAATCTGTCCCTCAATGAGGGGAAACATCTCTCTCATCACAAGAGGCTGTACAGTGATAACCTCCTTGTTCCACCACATTCACACATTCAGAAGGTGACTCATCCATCTATAGTACAGACCCCATGGCTCTACCCACTCCTCCTGCAGGGCTGACTGAAACCTGTAGGGGGGAACCTATAGCAAAGCAAACAGAGACCCCTAGAGGTCGTTATCTGCTGGTGCATCTGCTAGATCGACAACTCGAGCAGAGTCAGAACAAATCTCTAACATCCCAGCAGCCGTGTGGTTAAACTGGCCAAACTTGAGTGTCCACATTTTAACCAGAACATTAGAAATCTGCCTCTAATGCTTCTCTGCTGGGTTGTTTCTGTCCTCACCTCCTTCCCTTTAGCACAAGCTGTCCTCCTGGACAGTGGAAACTCGTAGCACCAGTTTCCGGAGCTACAGCATGTCAGAATACTCTACCTGAGATTTTTCCACTTTGAGCACGCAAGCAAGGTCGTTTTCCACAGCAACATGTGATTTAGGGAAATGAAGTTTCCACAGTTTACTACAACTGGTGGTGGAGGGAAACCATTAGATTAACAGCCACTCCGGAGCTTGTTTGGACTTTGGGTAATCATTCATTCATTAATAAAAACACAGCAGTTGTGAATACGGACAACATGACCTTATAATCATTGAAAAACCAAACGGGCTATAAATATTGATCTTTATATGTACACAGCTGTATTTCAAACATTGATGATATATTAATAAGACTGACAAAATGTTTAAACTCCAGCAAGAATCCTACTTAAAGGGACCATAGATGTAAAGGTTTGCACTGGTTATGTGATGTTGTAGTGTCCCAGTAAAGTTTTAGTCCTATAATAATAAAAGTTGTAATTAAGATTTACAAAGTGTCTTTCGCTATCGTAGATTAGTACACATTCGACGTACATATTGAAGTATGGCGAGAATAACAGAAGACAGCGCCTTGTGACACATTTTTCATCACGTAAGGAAATCTAGAGAAAGCTTTTTTTAATAAAACTTCGGGCAAACTCTCTAAATAGTTATATTTTTACTACAACGTATTACTATCATGGCACTATCACTGTAGTGCACACACACAGAGTCTAATATGGTCTTAGGTTTTAGTCCTATTACTGATATTGTTTATTTATTTATGGCTTTTAAATGTTTGTTGTATTTCTCGACTACCACCTTCCTGATCTCATTAAGGATCATAAAT